ACATAGCTGCATTACAACAAAAGCGTTCAGTTTTTCCATATAAAACTGGTAAAAAATAAAATTAAATCAAACTTTCTATTTTCCATTAATTTGAAATTGGTAGTAGTCAACTACATGTGCTAGATATTGCAAAATGAAGTAAATCCACAAATTCGAATAGATATTTACATAATTTTAACAAAATCAAATATTCTATAAAATAAATATTATTTTTATACCAGTTTGAAATGGTTGCTTACACACAATGAACGTGTATTTTTAAGAATGTACCTCTCAGTAAGTCCATAGAAGACAAACTTGCTTTTTTTCCAAAGGAATGGACTCCCAGATGAATGTCGTTACTATAAGTAATAGTGTTGTAACGATTTTAGAAAAATATGTTTTTTACCACTTGTAACAGGCTCAAAAAATATTGATTTCATTAAATAGAGTATGTATTGATATACTGTTATTAAAGCTAATTAACAGCAACGTTTAATGTTTAAACTTCAATGGGTCAATTTAATGAGCCTGCTCTATAAAAATTGCGTGTATGAATGTTACATGTAATACAATAGGATAATTTAAAAATCAATACATATTGCAGACAGCAAAAATTTGAAACATAAATTTTTTATCAACATGCATACATGTTTGACAAATACAAACAAAAAAAAATGATTTATTCGTAAAAAGCGAACTTTATTACTATTCGTTGTTGAAAAATCAGAAAATCAGAAAATGGATTTAAAATTTAAATTGCAATGGGAAAAATAACAGAGTGAAACGTACTCTTTCAACTATGAAAGATTAGATAAATACTGCATGTATATGTAATATAATAACATAAAACTGCATATGCCTTGCATGACTAATAGAAATGATTTTGCCTCGGGTCTAAAACTGGGTCAAATTTTTTAAGGTAAGCATAAAAATGTCTGCTCTCACACTTTCCCATGTTTTAGAATACACCCAAGCGAATACATTTCAAATAAATCTAAAAAAACAAACATTTACATAAATTTCAAAATTAGGAAAATCGAAAAACGAAATTCAAAATGAGCTAACGAATATACTTACTCTGTCGGGAAATGGTGCATGTATTTCTGACAGGATCTACCACATCCCGGACAATACCAATAGCTCAGTACTCCAATAGAGGCAGCAAACAATATGTTTGGAATTGTAATAGATAGCACCAAATGTCTCAATGTATCATCCCATGAATACCTAGCAACTACTTGCGTTTCGGGATAAACTCTACTATAATAACAAGGAAATGGAGTGCCTGCAGTCTGGTAGCCGTACTGGCGGGCGAACTCAGAGCAGTTCACTGAAGGTGGATAGCCGCAACCTTCCGTATTGATTAGAAAACGGGTATTCGGCACGTCCCAATGGATATTTTGAACGGGCATCGTCGGTCTGTACTGATGAAAGGGCATCTTCGAATAATTGACGTAGATTTGGTGGCAACGCGTAGCTTCTCTGGTGCAACCTTCACGACAGGAAGCCCAAGAGCAATTCGATATGCCCTCGGCGTAGATGTGTTGGGTAGCTATGCAGGTGACTGGCTCTGGTTCGTAGTCGGCCATCAGACTCGTGATTGCTGGATCAACTACGAATGGTATCAAAAATAAGAAAGCGAATACCGATAAAAAGGCCGTGGTTCCGAGACATAACGACGTATAGAATTTGGCGGTTTCAGCTATCGAAATTAAGGTGAGAGAAGTTTTTTCACCGTTTACGCTCATGATGCGTGGTTTAAGAAAAGTACGCTAGTTTAATCCGAAAGGTACGCTTTCCCCTACGATGGATTCAAAATTTAATTAAGCAATTCAGTCTCGGTCCAACAGGAGGGGAATGCCTGAAAAAGAAAACAAATTGATTCATCCATTTATTATATAATAACCCACCTATTTTTTTTATAATAAATCGATAACAAAATGAGCAAGTAGGTTATGAATAAATAGGTAGGTTACAAGGAGACATTGAACGAGCATATCAAAATATAAAACGTTTAGTGCATATTTTAACCAACACAAAATATGTGAATTTCAATACTACACTGACATTATGACTACTTTTTGGCGCTTTTTATTAATATTTTTAGAAATATCAACACCCCATTCTAAGGCGTCAATTATTTTCCCATTTTTCGTCCTTGAAAGTAAATTCACTCTTGTAATTATACATAATTACAAGTTCGAAAATATCGAAATTCCCAAAGGTCCCTAATTATTACATAACGAATGTTCAGTTCCGTTTCATTAAAAAAGAAAATTAAGCATGTGTCGCAGTATTAGAACAAAGTGACAACGAATATGAAAACAATTTCATCCATACCCTTTTAAATAAGGAAGCAACATAATCTTCAACAAAATGTTATCCAAGCTTTGATGCCCTATAAAAACCAAAAATACAAAATATAGCGAGCTTTACTTATTAGAAAGTACACGAATAATTTGTGTTAGTTACTCAAAAAAATATGTTTTTAGCCCAATAAGACCTGTAATTAATTACAATTTTTTTATATGTACATAAAATACTATTAGTGAAATAATAATGCTTACGTGATTGGTCTCAAAGTGCCATAATTGAATTTCCTCCTCCCCGATCGTTAATGTTGTTTGAAGAAGCGGTTTTTTCCGCAGCTGCCTCTTCCGATTTAACACAACCCTGAAAACGCATTTTAGCATCATCACCTACCACAACAGTGCGTTGACAAAGGATAAGCGTAAGACATGAAACGACGAATAGCACGGAAGGCAAAACCGAAGCTATTAGAAATTGTTTCGTGGTCGTCGCTAAATCGAAACGTGCTACAACTATTCCTGGATTATCGTTGGAATAGAAACAAGGAAAACGGGCCCTGGCGAAGTGATCGGTTCCATCTTTACCATACATTTTTAAAAAATCTCTGCATTCGTCTCTTAATGTATTGACACAACCTTCGAGATTGATGAGTAACTTACTGTCGTTTGCGATAAGTAAATCGGGTTCAGGTGGTGCAGCGATTGCTTTTTCATCTAATACGACCGTATTGAAAATGCTAAGGTAACTTATGTACGTGAAATTCGTGACATTAGGTAACATACTGTTTGATAACAACGAACCATTTACACAATCCACCGCTTCTAGTCCTCGACTGGTGTTTAAAATGGTATAACACGATGCCATCATAATATTATCTTGCGATTCGTTCCAAACTTCCTGGCCTGTGTCACTATTAATGCATCTTTGACATTGCGATAAATAAACTTCGTCGCCACTCAACACTATAACATTTTTATTTCTCGTTACAATGTCGGCACCTCCGCAATGACGGTCGCAATTATACGGAGTGCGGATTCTTTCGCAAGTACCTCGATTGCAACTGTACAACCCGTTAAGATCTATGCATGTAATTTTACCTCTTCTACCCGAGCACTTTAAAGGCGGATCGGTGTATTTGTAAATACATTCGAATGAATCGGTAAGGTCTAGGCACATTCCCATTGAGCAGTTGAAGGTTCCTGTCAGATTTTTGCATTCATCTGCAATGCATCGACTCTTTTTCGCGTTTTCTTGATCCTTACCGTAGCAAATTTTCTGGGCTATGCTCGTGCAATTCACTAGAAGCAGGTTGGAGCCATTCCGTCTGAGGTTAACGTAAATTTGCATACATGATCCGGATGTTTTGCTAAGACACCACTCACCGCAGGAGCCCCAATCGCATGTTTCTGCCTGAATGGCTCGAGTTGTCGTACACATAACTGGCGTTTCGGATATACCTGACTGCATGGCCCTCGTAGATGGTACATAAATTGCAACAGTCAGATAAACAATCGCTACGCTGCTCAAAATTAAAGTTAACTGACAAAGGCAAATCGTTCCGCAAATTTTCGTATTTTGCGGGGGAATAATGAGATCTTCGACGGGCGTTGGCTTCTTTTTCGGCATTTTGGAACTGTATTTCGCATAATTGATGTCAGCAAAAGTTAAAATTATTTTGTGCCGCCATTCAACTCTAGTGTATCTTAGAAAACTGAATGTAACCGTTGTTTGAACGGTGGTAACGAAACGCGCACGTCCTGTGATCAATATTCTACTGCGGCGAGGCTAATAATAGCACGCGCACTGCCTGCTCCCGTTTTATTTATCACAACAAAATGTTCAAATGTGAAAATTTACATTAAGAAAATATAGAAAATTCCAAGCGATTATAAAACGTGTAAATAAATGCTCATATTGTTTGATTGTAATACTTACGATAGTATGTTTTGTTAAATGAGAGGGATGAAAACCGGCGGAGCAAGGGTAGCCAGTGGCTCCTCTCATGGAAAACGGTGTGACAGTGTTATTCCAGTCATCTGACGGAATCGGCGCCAAAATCGATACCATAAGAACGGACTGCAGTGCTCACAACACAATGCCCGCCGTCGAAGGCACACATTACACGGGATTTGTTACAACTGTGCAAAGTTTTTTCTAAACTGTAACGACTGTGATTCAATTTGAACGTGTTTTCTTTACCTATTTTAAATCGTTTAAATGTTATTTTCTTTTTACGTAAACATGTAAATCAGTGTATTTGTAGTGAAGATATGTGGTGGTTGAAAAAATGGACACAAAGATTGTATTATTACATAAAGTTATAGCCAATTGGTCGTGGATCTATGGTATGAGCTAAGCAGAGCCGTTCGTGCTCGTCTGTGGACGCAGATGTTGGGGTCCAAGCTCCAAATAGCCCTTACATTGCGACCATGGAGAACGAGAAAATTGAGCAAACTTGGAAACAAAAATTACTATTTTATACTACAGCTTTCTTCGTGCTGCTTGGCATATTTAGCTTATTTTCGTTTTTATTCCTTGTGCCTTTTGTCATCGACCCGGCTTTTACAACGATTTTCATGGAATTTGACGAAGAACCCGCTCATTGTGTGACCTTAAGAACAGATAGACGCATAGGTGCATCAAATTGTAGTTGGACATCTTGCAGAGAAGGTTGCACAAAAGATATTTATACGTGCACACAAATTTTTGTAAATTACAAAGCGGCTAATCGTACTAACACCTCAACAGTTTTATCTACTGTGCCACCTCAAGCTCTACTAATGCGTGAAAAAAGAGCTATTTTAGACGATTACGATTACGATGAAGACGACTTATCAAATGATCATGAAGAATGGACATTCCAGGAAGCAAAACTTTTACCTAACGTAAAGGGCTGTGGTTACCCTCCTATGCTCAACTGTTCCATTTTTTTAAAAACTCACCAAGAGATCGGATCCAATTTTTCTTGCTATTATAGTAAAGTAGATCCCAGTTTGGTTATAAGTCACTTAGACATGTGGCAAGTTTACATGAACTTGGTGTACGCCATGGCAATACCAATTCCTTCGTTTATTATATCTGTAGTGTATTTGGCGTTTGCCTATTTTAAAATTTATAACGAAGACGAAGAAGAGGCCCCTCTAGAGAAAAATGCTGAAGATATTGACATGGAAGGCGATAGCGGGCCTGTAGAAACACCAATTCCTCCGGCTAGTGGAGGATTAACACCAGCAAGTGAAGCGTTTAGAGAAGATCTGGCAAGTTTTGGTCACCATCTTAAAGTGGCTATGGTGGATGATATGAGTCGAGATAGTTTAGTAGACGGAGTTTCAATCGGAGTCCCAATTGGAGGGTAAATATATTTATATATATTTCAACTATAATACCTACATATTATATCACAAAAACAATAACTTAACAAATTTTTATTTCAGAAGCATAGGCAAAACGATGACAACCAGCATCTCGACCACAGGAGGTCCAGTAGCTAATATATAAAATTAATGAGCCCTGAAGCCGCATTTTGAATGTTCTCAAGCTTATGTTTCTCATTCTTTTCGTAAAGCCTAGGATAAATTCAAAGATAGTTTGAAATGAAAAACGTTATTCACGTTCCTCTCAAAATAGATAGTAAGTATACATAATTTTTCTTAGTTATGCTTGCAATATTCGATAAATTCGGTATAAAAGCACATTTTCCCGTTTGCTTTTTAAATCGATGCTTTCCAATAATAATTAAAGATTTTAGTGTCGCACGCATATCGTTACAACTTGACCTTATCAAATGTCGTAATGTACCGTCCACAACAATAAAACCCCATTTCACATGCAATTATTCAAGTATAAGAAATCAATTTTCAACAAAATATCAACTAACCTTGAAAAACCTTGAAAAAAATCTTATCAATTCTGATCAATTTTTCAATAGAAATACAGTACATGTACAACGTTATTCCGGTAATTTACATTTTAAAAATAAATCATTTCAGCACGTAAGTCGACTCAAATTATATCTAAACACACAACATTGAATACAATGTAATTATACCAATTTCTGCATTAATTATACTACGATGCGCGGTGGTATTTTACAAATTAACGGGATTGTTTACGCGACCATCTATAATGCCGTAGACCAGATTTAATGCCTGTTCCGGGTAGATAAATTGCGCGGACGCAGGGCGAATATGTAATTTACGTTTAACCGGAATATTTTATGAAAGATTAAATTTATATTATGTAACCCTTTTCAGTTAAATCCGCGCTATTAATTTTGAATGAACGTACAATATTTTTTCCAGTATAAATGTAAATGCTACCCACTTTCCCGTGAAAAATCTAACGACGACAAAAGAAATACTCCAATATTGCTCATATCAAACTAACCGATGTTCATTTCTTTTAATGACCGACAATCCGTTTTCTGCCGACCGTCAGACAATAATGCTCCGAGTCGTTTTTCAACTTCCCAATACCTCCGTAAAAATTTTATCAACCTTTACAGTTATTTCTCAATTTCAACTTTATCTCTTTCGAAACACGACGTATCAATGCCTCATGTTTGTATTTTTAGTAACGCATTGGAGATCGGACAACGAAAATAAAGGAATGCATGTACATTTTGATTCGAAAAATGCTCATCTAAAAAAAGAACAGAGCTTGTTCAATAGAACTTCCTATTTTTTCTCATTTTCACACAACTAATTTCTTTCAATTTCGCTTTCATAGAATGACCCTAATCATGATATTCTAAGTTGTTATCACTTTATGTGGCTTTACTTTACTTTTACTTTACTGTGACGTTATTTTAACAATAGCTCATTATAGTAGGTATTTTGTAGGTTGTAGGTGCGTTGTTTTAAATTTTTATCTAAATTTTCTCTTCCTTACCTATTTTTCGTTTTAAATATTTCTTAACAATTACAAGCATTTTTCATACATTAATTTGTTTACCAAATTTTTCTAGAAAATAACTATAATGATCGGACCCTTCAGTAGAATTAGTCTTTTTATTGCTGTTTATTTTTCAAAAATGAAACAAGTAAGATATTAGACTAAATTGCACTTTTATCTTATTTCTTTGTGTTTACTACGGTTTTGAGAAATTTTCATTGAGGGAATAGATCAAATTAATAATATTAGCGCGTTCGTATCCTTTGCTTGCCTAGACTGGACTCATTTCATTCAAAGTTTGAATAAAAATTTATTAAAAATATTATTAAAAACGAAATGAAGAAATACGATATTACCACCTTTATATATTTTTTGATACCATTCCTGATTCTGGTTTATTTCCGAAGAATATCATATTAATTTCTCAACTTTTTTATACCGATTCCTTTTTCGTTTTGTTCCTAGAAAACCGATATCTAAAGAGTGTTTGCACGACGAGAAATTTGATTTCTAGTCGTTGAAAAACACACATATTATGTTTCGCTAACCGTATTTCATAATTATAAATTTAATCGCAATGCACAGTACAGTTTCGAATTAAAATTTTCCTCGTCTTCATTAGTAAGTTGAAAAATATTTGACCTGCAAACATCGAATTTTAATAACGATAATGCGACAGTTATTTATTTAAATATGTACATGCAGCATTGATTCAATGAAATAGCGGAACAAGTTCATTTTCGGATTCGATTAGTCACGACTTATTTCAAAGGAAACGAACAATTTTCAATTGAAGAAAAGAACGTAAAAAAAGTATCGAAGGGCGTTTATTGATTAGACCTCGTTAACAATTCTCACGTAACAAGCGGATCAGAAGTTACCATAAATTTTAATTGAAATGAATTTTTTAGGTCTATTGAACGAAAATGATTATCGGAATGTGGCCGAAGATTTCGTAAAGCGAGCATTGAAAGGAACGTAAATCATTCAAATATGTAAGAGTTCGTGGGAGTTCTGAACATTTTAGAATGAACACCAACTAACGCTTCTGATTAATATTATAATATAATAGCTGTAGCAGTTATGCGACAAAATAATGCATTTTGTAGGGCCATGTCTTTCAATTATAGAACGACTTCCTTGATATTCGGAATTACCCAGAACTGACACTAATTCAACCAGGAAGTCTTTAAAGCAATTTTACAATAAAAAATTGCAATGGGTAATTTTGGAATAGCGTTAGGAAATGGTTTTATATTGTCTTTTTGACTGATATATTCAGTTGTTTTCAGTGATATATTAGCCAAGGGAAGTGATTGACTTAGTATTTATTCTTTGCTCTTCTATTATCACAAGTTTGTGTGGGTTTGTTGAATCCTGAAATTTATGTTAACTCGATTAGTAGAAATTTTTAAATATGTGATAAAGCAATCATGATTCAATTAAATTTTATTTCAACCTTAACAATTTTATTTGTAGGATTTCTTTTTGTGGGATTTCTTTTTATAACTTACGGCATTAATATTTCATCAGGACAATTGAAGTCAAATATGTAGAATCGGGAGAAATTTTTATATAAGAGTTCCAAAAGTGGAGAATTTATGAATGAAACTTTTGTTTTATTTAATACAGATGGCACTTAGCCAAGGTTCTGTTTTAATGTGCTCTAGATTCTTGTAAATCGTTAAAGAAAATAAATAGTGCTAATTAAAATGTGAAAATGCACACGAGTAAATAGAAAATGTTAAGGTTGAAAAGTAATTTGTTTTATTCAGTAAAAAAATCAAAAGACTTGTTGACACGGCTGGGCTCTGTGTTCATGGCTTTTTTATAGGTAAATCCATACTGACTTAGTTACAATAGACTAAGTAGCAATTTTCGCTACTTTTCGAGTTTTTCATAGGCATATATTAATAAAAATACAAGAATTAAACTCTTATTTGTTCGTATTTCGGTATGGATGTATCGTAATAATTTCACTTTATTTAAATGTAAATAGCTCTTAGATTTATCTTGTTGGTGCATTTAATTATATAGTTAAAAATTTATAAAAAAGAAATTTGTTTATATTTCTTATAGGATGTCTCCAAAAATTTATAATTACCCTTTAAGATTACATAAATTTTGTAGATTTACTTACGAATTTATTTCTTCTTAAACGGTTAGGTATACCTGATATTTGGGACATCCTGTATATCGTGTACAGTTCGAATTTTATGACTAATCTGTAAGCATTGAACATTGTTCAATATTTTTGCCTTCTCTTTCCAGAAAATACCTATTGAAAGCATTTGTTATATTTTTAATACTCAGTAAAAGACGGTTATTGTAATAATGTATATAAAAATGGGCCGAAGCTGGAATATAATGCGCGCAAAATGTAGTCAGTATCAATATTCATACGTAGAGTATTTAATTCAATAGGTAATATTATTATACAGGGTCTTTTAAAATTCATTTCGAAGAAAAACGTTTGAGAGAATCAAATATAGGTGCTAAATCGTCAAAGACTGAATATTCAAGAAACAATTTAACCTTTTAATCTATACAGCATAGTTATTTTGAATGTAACTATCGATTTCTTGAATAAATTCGATGTAATTGTCACTTATAATTGCCTTGGTGTTTGAATTATTGTCGGAAATTTTTCGAATGCATGAGCTTTTTGAATGTATTCTCAACAAGTTAATTTCAGTACGAGAAAAATATCTAGCAATTAATTAAATCACTTGGCGGATTCGGTAAGAAAACTTCATATCCAAATTATAAACCATTAAGATTACGTTTTGTCAAAATTCTATATTTATGTTTAACATAATAGTATATCATTTGGTTGGCAAATTGTATTTATTGTTTTGCATTCTTTTGTGCAAAAATGCATATTACATTATGTTTTTGATTTAAAAATGATGTGGAATTTTCTTGCAAATTAATGTTTTCTCAACATATTCAAAAGCCTTGATCTTCATGTAAAGATGAACTAAATATATTTTTTATCTTTATAGCAAATATCGAAATAGGAAACTTGGTGAATAATATTCAAGTGTAAAATGAATTGCTTTCGATTGACAATTATTATTTTCCAAAAATCCGGGATGAGATCATTAAAGTTTTAATTTATTAGACAGAAAGAAGAGAAAAAAAAATATTTCGAATGTATAGTGATATTTTTTCATAAAACTTTATTCCGGATATTTGGCAATGGTTTTAAGAGACTCTGTGTAAAAATTAACGATGTAAATAATTTTGTGGACCATCGCTGACCACAAAATGATTCTAGCGTTTCATCTTCGGTTGCTTACTGTTTGTTTTAACATCTATTATGTAAAAGTGTTTGGGTTTAACAAATCTATAATATTTTATGAAGTACAAACTAATATGTTCGCTCACATTTTTGTTAAATTCTTTATTCTACGTGAATAAAATATATAAGTATGCCTTTAATAATAAAAAATTTGATGCCATCCGTCGTAAATGGTGCTTTATATCATCACAAATCATCTCTGCAAGCGTAGTATTGGCATAGGAGAATTTATAATTAAGAAAAATGTCATTTTAATTGATAAAACACTTCACGTGACGCATTAACCCTATTAAACATAAAAAATAGATCCGTCCTTATTTTCTATATGAAAATCATTAGAAATTCACTGTTTCGATACATTAAAATTGCAATGTGTATTCTAATTCGATCTTACCTGTAATCATTAATAGCTCTGTTTTTAATGTTCAAGTAAATGATAGAGATAAGCAAGTAAGTAATATTATTTAGGACTTTCTGCAGTGACTAATCTCTCTAGACGTAGAACTTAAAATACTTTCAATTTATGGTTAAAAAATGACATTTTTCCTGCTTTACTAAATATTTTACTAACAACGGTTAGAACTCATAAATTTAATAGTAAATAGCTATGTTATTAAACATTATATCTAGCTGCGGCTTACTAAATATTGTTTTAGGTAAATTTACAAGTTTTTGTCGACTAAAAGGTGAATGTAGCTATACCTACGTATTGAGAGTAAACAAAATTGTTGTGCTTTCTAATGGCAATAAAATTTGTTCAATGTATACCGAAATGGTCTTTAATCAAAACGCCCCGCCGAGAATTAGCATAAATCAAATGCGAAAACACGTCAATCGTTTTCGTTTAATTCTTCAAAAGAATTAACGGGATATTTTTAATTAGTCAATATAATTCATCGAAAATTCACAAAATGAATAAACATCGACGGGATATCGTGAATGTAATTGAAGACAATTACAGTCACAATACTCGAGTCATGTCAATAATATATCAAACCTATAATTTCTCCAACGGATCAGTAAAAGATACTGCAGTAGTTAGCATTCCTATGTGTGCTGATTATAATTGTATATGAAAGTAGAACGTTATATGCACATAAAAAAAACTTGTATTTAGTGAAAACACCCGTAATACCCTATCTAAATGCCATCGATATGTAAGTACGTAAATGTACTTACAGATTGTAGAAAGACCAACAGATATTGCAAATGAAGAAAACATAACAATAGACAAGAATCACGTTTTAAAGTAGGTTAATTTGTTAAATTGTTGAAAATAATTCAATTAGTCACACGTATTAAATTTAAATTCTTAGAGTTGTAGAATATAATCAAAAATCCCTCTCTATAACATTTTGAGTTAAAAGGGGACCAAAAAATATATAGAATAGGTAGTTAACTAAAGCGAATTAAATCATTCAAACGACGTGTTCAGATATATACTCACATATAATCGACTTGTAAATTTACCAAAAAATGTGTTTAATATTGTTGAAGTTTTCATATTTTTTATGTGTCAAGATTTTGGCATTGTTATATTCACTAAATCAAACGTGTTCCATTTATTGTTAACTAATTCGTAGAGATTAATGAAGTATTTAATAACCGGTAGATGAACTAAAAAAGAAACGGAAGTTTTTAATTTAGCCTCTTCCGGAGTTTTTCTTTTGAAAATCGAATTAAATACTTCAATAATTCATACAAAAATTAATAGATTTCATTGTTAAATTAAAAGTAAAGTTGCTTAAATGGAATACTTTGTAAATGGGTTAATGGCTTTAATCATCGTACTGACCTACTGCTGAATATTTTGTTTGAATCTTGTTATACATATATCCACGATCTTTAACTAATTTGTGATACACTGCTCATGTAGGAGTTGAAAATACATAAATAAAACACAGTAAGATCTCAGAGAATTGTATTATTTATTTATTTTTCCTAATTTGCCTTACCCCTTCAAATTACGTCTGTAATAAAATTAGTGATTATTTGCTACGTCAAGAAGATAGTGCTGTTAAATGCTAATAAGGAAGTTAGATATATTATGCATTGTTAAACATGATAATAAAAACTATGTTGTTTATGTACAGCGAATTTGTTTTATGAATATGCACTAGTTTAAAATAACTTACATTTTAATTTTGTTAGTAACACGTGAATTTCAACAGAACATCTATTAAAATTTATTAGTAAACATTATTTCAGCTAGTTAACATTGTATAATTACGTATTACAAAGTTATTGTTAAATGTGATTTATTATAAAAGGAATATAAAGTGCATCAAGAGAAGAGAATCGTGTACGAAGTGGCCGTTGTTATCGTAGCCATCGTAGGCCCATGAAGCAGCATCAAGTCCAAGTGACTCGCGACCCCAAGCCACAAGACCCAGCCCCCCTCCGACAGTGACCATCATCGAGTTGGCTTTGAGTTTAGAGACGTATTATCGTTTTAGTAGTTTGTTGCATGGAGGGAGTCTACCTGCTGTTATGTCGTTTGCGTACGTTGATCAGATTTATTCCGTATGCGAGAGTGCAAAAGAAATGGTTCCTCGCCGGACCGGTCCGAGACGATCGAACAACCATGTGGGTGCCGAAACGATTGTGCGAAATACGCGACTGACTACGATGAAAATTAAAAAGGAAGACGACGAAAAGTTGAACTGAATCTTCGGCATGTTCAGATGGCACGAAAACTATCTCGGCCTCGGCCTCAGCCACGGCGAAGAACATTACATAGCGGCAACGCATCGTGATCATCCTCATGAGCATATCTACAAAAGGTAGGTTAGTTCTATTTACATAACGAATTGAAGCATTTTTTTTGTTAACCGTCGCTCGCGATTTCAGATTTTTGACTGTCGGTCCGATGCGATACGGGATGAGAGTTGGTGCGGTCTCACCACCCCCGCCGGGAGTTGGGCCTCGATATCGCTCGCATCAAAGCTGTTGGCCAACAACTCCTTGCGGCGACAGCGTCTGTGACAACGTTCCCGTCTCCGTTTCCCAGATCCCTCTACTCACACCACCTATTAATAGCTTAGATATAATTAGTTGCGCAAATAGAATGAGGATAAACGAGGATGCTACGTCAAATAAACTGCTGGCTCAGCAGGCGTCAGCGACAGTGCGCGACCATGTACTTTATGGGAATAAGTGTTCGTTAAAAACTCAATTGAAACGTTGTGCCCTAGTGCGACCGCAAGTGTATACGCGATTAGGAGCTTACGGAGAAATCGACGAAATCAAGGAAGACAACACACTGGACCGTCTTCCTAGATTCCGCTTCGGCGGAAACCGTACATCTGCCGCTGAAAAAAGGAACAATGATCATCACAGATACAAAGAACTTACTGACAGATTGAAAAGAGGTACTACGCCTGTGCCTCCACCCCGAACGAGACATACGTCGAAAATTACGCCGCCCTTGTCGCCCTCGTCTACCGTTGAATCGTCCGAACCGTCGGAAAGGCATATCCCCTTACGAAGTGCTTCTTTTTCGCAAGTCGATTATTGTCCGGACGACAACAAGTATGTGAGACGGAGACCGTCGACACATCAGGAACAGGAAGGTGATATTTCGACTGTTAAAGAAGTATCTACACTGCCAAGACCAAAGAATGCATCGAGACCCACAACTCCAACGAAACAAGAATTACCAGTATTTAATATAGATTGCAGTTCGGAAGATATAAAAACATTAAATGTACTAACAGAAAATTCTCGTGTTCCCGACGTCGAGATAACACCAGGCTCTCCAGAAAAACCAACGGCGAGATTACAAGAAAATTCAACTAGTAGCCAAGACAAAAGAAAAGATAAGTCGAGACGAAGAAAAGGTATTTATTTGTCCCAATGGCCTAATGCTTATCAATCTACCGAAGATGTAATACCGCAATTTGTTCAAGATGGTGATTTTCCATGTGCTAACTCGACATCAAAATTCATCCAAGAGTCTCTCGTTGAAATCAGTAAGTTGAGTAATGCTGATGATAAAAATAGAGAATTTCCGATATGGAGTAGTCCTCAAGAAGAGCCTTTAAGTCCCGAGGATAACACTCTTCCGCCGGAATGGCCAGCCGTTTCAAAATCAAGACTGTTGTCGCAATCTCCCGATGAGAAAGACTCTTTGAAGGTAACACCTCGAAGTATAAATCTGTTCCGATCAGATTCACTTTCAGAGGGCGAGCCAGATTTGAATAAATCCGATCAAATTTCATTGGTGACATCTGATTTATCAGACACCGAAAGCAGGTTGAGCTTAAACGCGGATACGACAAGCCCCAACGTACCCAGAAGATACTCCAAACGACCTTTGAGAGGTCCGTACGGGCAAATGCTGGAAGCCGAAATGAAGAAACCGGAGGGCAGAAAAAACTTAAACAGTGATCTAAAATTTTTAGAGGACTTATCGATGTGCACTTCTTTAAACAATTTATCTAAAACGAAACACAGTAGGACTAGGGGTGCTGGCAATTGTTCATTAGACGAAACGAACGTTAAGGATAAAATTAATAACAATTCGAATTCGATATCTCCGAAGCAAGTGAATAAACGGAAAGTTAGTGCCGACAATTTAATAGTTCCTAACGAAATAATCGATACAAAATTCGTTGTTAATCATCAAAGAACTACTTCTAGCCCATCGAAATTAGAAGGATTCACTAACACGGAAGTGAGCAGCGAGCTACTTGAACAGTTGCTAAGGGGGAGTTCCGAGCAATTGTCTACTTCAGAGGCTAATCATCAAATACAAAAGGTTAGTTAATATATTTGTTTACGTATATGAATAGGTTCATTATAAAATATCCCTCGAATTACGACCATCATTTTTACATTCAATAAAATTGAACTTTTCGTGTTTTCCCTCATAACAAAGTTACTTCCTTTGACTTTTCATCGTACGTCATCAGTAAATTAGAATAACACACATTTATTTCTTTTTATAAATACGATTCTTTAGAAAAAGGTTATTTTAATAAACTGAGTTCCTAATCGAATGTTGAAAATATAGAGATATCTGAACAAAATTAAATAAAGTTCTTTTAAAATAAATATATAATCATAGAATCAATAATATAATTTATAAAAATCACGTACAGATTAAAATATATTTTTTATCAAATTCCATGTTTGATATTCTCTTAAAAATTAGGTCAATCCAAACAAAGAGGTTGTAAACTACCATAACACAACAATAGCATGTAAGTACATACGCTGAATAATGCCTGACATTGGGATAAATCATCAAAAAGCCTGATTTATTGCCGATCTTTACAAATCCTATTACTCCAATTTCTTTTAAATTTCTTTAACGATTTGCAGCGGTTTGTTCTTCGGATTGCCTCTTTCTTTCCTCTATGTAAATCTTCTAATTAAAGCTTGTATTGTTAGCATACCTAATGAAACTCGACAATGGCTATATTGATAATAATCAATTAACGATGAATTTTATTATTTAAACTTCTTTTTAAATAACGTGCATTCCATTCGCTGCAATGTTATTAGGTTTCTTACTGCCTTATATTTTTAATCAAAGAAAGATTCAAGTAAATACGGTTTGAAATAGACAAACCATATATGTAGGTAAAAAATATACATTTTCCTTTATCAAAGAAATTAATTTAGAGAGCGAATTTCCTCTCTCTTTTTTAATTCTATTTTTAATATCTTTGATCTAACAAGAAAAAAATATAGCGTTACGAATGTTCATAAAGAAGACCTAAATTCTAATTAAAAATGTTATATTAAAGTACATATGTAGAAAATTTATTAAGAATTCAACGAAAATAGTTTTTAATTGATAGAGTTAATTAATAGGTGCATATGTGTATTTCACGATAGGGTGTTAAGATAAAATTAAACTTAATATTGATTAAATTGATTAAATTGATTAAATCATTAAAAATGTTATACATCGTTTTTAACAAGTACGAGTATATCAGATTTACAAGCAATTACGCTGCTCGTAAGGAATGTTTTGTTAATAAAATCTTGGTTACTAAATAGTCGGATTTGCATTTCCAATTGCAATACAACTTTCTTTTTTTATTTTTTTTATTGGCGCCAACATTTTCCATTCATTAATTAGTCTATAAGAATTTGCTAAGTTGCAGTCAAGTATCATATTTATTCTTTCGTAATATACTAAGTAAAATGTCATATTATATCACTATTAATCTTTCTCATTGTTTCAAATATAAATAGCTTGTTTAAAGTGCATTGTAGTTTCTTATAAGCCGATTTTGTTTCGTAGATATGACGAAAACATTGAATAATGAACAGGTTGCACATTTTACAATGCATAATATATTTATTTCGACAAGTGTCAGTAGATATGTAAAGTAAGTCGAATGAACATTAATTAGATATATTTTAGTATTGTCTTGATACGCTGGTGCGTTTTATTATCTACAACGTACTTAAATTAGCGAGGTGGTCGTTGATTTATTTTCATTCAAACTTTAAAACTGCCTTCCTAATTTTAGATATGTGAGTAATCTACTAAGCACATTACAAATTTGAAAACAAAAAAATGGATTCGTCGATATTTATATACGTCAATTTATTTTAAAATATTTCACTGCAACCATATTCTCTTTTTTCGGAGCTTATAGACTCGTATTCTACTTACGTGGGATTACGTGCTATTTGTGTGTCGTTTACAAAGAATTCGGAGAAAACATCGAAATATACACATAATATTATGAATGGAGGATTCTTCAGTCCTCTTTGCCTTGATTTTAAACGAATATCTAAGATGAATAAATCCAGTTGTCTGGAAACCGATAGAATCAACAAGGACCATTTCCATTCTGGTTACACCTCTCTTTCTCTCGGGCGCTTCAATGAAAGGCTATGAAAAATTAATTGAAACTTTGTTCGTCTCTGACAATTTCCAGGATTCGGAAGAAGCATTCGTTCGTACTTATACATTTCTTTGATGTAGCAAGTAATCTATAGTTCAATGCAATTTGTGCGTTTGTTTTAACAAATATTTCGTTAGTGTTCTTTGATCCAATTATTTGTTAATTGTGCTATTGTATTTCCAAAGACAATTTAATAAAGCATGAAAATGAAAATTTAATAAAAACAACAAAATTATTGTAAAATTAGATCGAACGAATGCGCATTTTATATTTTCAAATGCACCTACACAATAAAATTAAACATATGCGACGACAATAGTCTATTTTATATGTTCCTGATACAAAAAGAACTATACTAATTACAATAGCAAATTTAAATAATTACGAAGTTAATGAATATTTGATCTTTGTCTGCAAAAAAACGGTGTAAGGGAGGAAAAAGCAGTAAACACTTTTAAAGCGACAATTTAAACGTCTACTTGACATGTAAACAAGATATTAATCCTGCGATTGTAATTAAAATATAGCCTTGGTAATTAATTGAAAAGTCCTGGCTTGCATTGTCATTGTCATTGCCATTGCCATTGCCATACTCTGATGTTTTCTCTGGGTCGAGATGCATTATACAAATCATTCTAGTTGTTTCGCACGATAAATAAAACCCGAGGCAAGTGACAACCAGATCGATGACACGTGTAACAAATAATCCACGATAAAATCTGAATATAAATGTAAAATTTTCTGCGGAAAACTCACTGCGAATACAATCATTATCAAATTATCCGGTCGTTGAGAAAAATGTATATCATAAGGTTGAGGCACTTGTATAGCCATGATATCGTTATATTCCGAGCTCTACACGGATTTTCTTGTTTGAAGAGGTTCTTGATATGAAAGCTATGAAAATGTGGAATAAAAATTAGGGTTTCATGTTCTCAGATATTCAGTAATTTAATAAGAAAACTCTCTTATTCGTCTTAAAGAAATTGTACTACCTATGCTGGAAAAATTAAATTCTTTGTGAAGCATAATGAGACTGTTTTTTAGAAATTGCTTCCCTTCACGAAATGTGCCTTTTAAATAGAAACATGCAAAATACCTAAGGTTTATTCAGATTAAAAAAAAAATTATTTATATATTTCTGGATTTCGGTTTTTACCGAGTAAATCCTATCTATATTCGCGGGAAAATGTCGCATTTTGCTATGATTTCAAAAATTGATTATGTTTATTTTCATTAGGATCATCTGCGATGATTGATAAATCCCATATTCGTTTTATTTTCCGAATAATTTTTTCAATAATTAACTAAATAAATTCGAAAGTTTTGAAGCGATTCGTTGAAAAACCAAACGGGAAAAGTAAATAAAGAATAAGCAAATACGAATAAATGTAAATATCTACTAATATACGTTTTCTATTAATCACCGGGATTTCTTCATTCAGTTTACAACAAATCAATTCTCCGATTAATAGCATAAACAAAGTATTGGTAACCGAAATGTAATGGCGCTCAAAACTCTTGTTTCCCGAGATCCGACGCCAGGCGTCGATCTAGCGTCGGCGCGAGCCTACTTTGATAACATTCAGTTCTCTACACCAGTTGCTTTGGCTAAGGTGTGGCAAAAGTGTTTATGATGAAATGTTATCCGAAATGAATAAAAATCTTTCGGCTTCGCGTAGTGATTTAGGTGTGAAACCAGAGGGTAGTGGTAATGTCGATCAGGATGAAGACATTCAAACGGTGGCACAGGCGTCAACGTCGTCTGATGCGACCCAATCGGTATTAACACGAGTTTATTTTCAAAACACAGGAATGTTTACCTGTTTGTATTTTGTTTTACAGGATACCAGAACACACGTGGTATTCGAGCTGTACGAAAACGAAAAGTACTATGTAGAGTCTCTCAGGATTGTCGTAACGGTAAGTTGACAAGTTTGTTTAAAATTTTTAAACTGATCACTTGTTGAATATACGCGCTACATGTATGTTATACCTTCATTCATAAATTCGCTGGTATATACATATATATTTACAACAGCTAATTTTCTGGATTTTAATTAAATATCGATCGGCGATTTTAAATTATAGTTCAAGAACGTTTATCAGAATATTAAATTTGTTTCCTCTGTTTTAGCTTATTACTTTGCTTAAATTGTGTTTCTAATATTCATTTCAGAAATTAATTATTTCACGAACAAACATACAAATTGCATTTGGTCCGTTTTTAAAAAAAATAGCTTAGAACTTTGTTTAAATTATCTTGTCAGGAAAATTAATTTCAGACATTAATTAAATCTGAAACAGAGAAATGCATTTTAACTTATTTTACAAATTTTCAGTGGAAACTTTCAAAAAAAAACTACCGAGTTTCGCAAACTCGTAATTACCCGCAATTTCGTATTCATTTGATTAATACAATACGCACTTATCCAACAATGTGCACCATATTACATGTAATATGTAAACTATATTAAGACAATACATGCTCAATCAAAATTGAAACTTAACCATTATTGAAATGAAGCCTTTAATTAATCTTATATTTATGGAATAGAAGAGAAACTAATAATAACTTAATTAAAAATCAACTGAAATAATCCTCATACATTTTATTCGTTCTAATTTTAAAGGATATTGGATTCGTATAATATTCCAATTATTTTCTCGGCGATTGATCTATTCATAAGATACAGACATCGTTCTTGTTTTAAAACAGATTTGCGTTTAACCATCTTAATTTTTTTATTGTTTAGAAATATTAATATTTCCTGGAATGCCGTTTACTATTGTTATAAGAGCAACAATAAAAGCGAAAGATTTATGTTCGGTTCATCGTCCATACGTAAGGGTGTAATCGTAAAATCCTACTATATCGGAAGTCGGGGGTGTAGCAATTAGAAAGTTATTTCATGATATTTTCCCGTTTCGGACGGATTAAATAGGTCGAAGATAATTGCGTTAGCTACGGAAAAACAGGTCTCAACGATAAATCAAACGTGAAAGAGGAAAAATATTGTATATCGGTCGTTCTGGATATCGAAAATGTTGCATCGTAACGTAAATTATATAAAAATACGATTAGAGAAGAAATAAATAGATCGAATAGTATCAGAAAACTAAGGAAAATTGAGCGTGCTTAATTACGTTTGATTTTTAGTAGTATATTTTACTTGAATTGTGCGGAAATCGCTGTATGTACTATATTCGATTAAATAAATTGCGTGGGTTCGAAGTGGGATCACTTTTTTATATATTTATCTATTTCATTGTGGATACACAGAAGGTTTGAAACAACAATTCCTACCTGCTCGTGTTTTTGATTATTTCGCACGAAAATCAACACAATTTTATTACCCAACGTATACAAAACCAATTTTGTTTGCGTTTGGCATCTACGTGTGACAATATTTGTAAGAAAAATCAAAACACGACTTTTGGCCGGCATAGACATCCCGTTTAAGATGAAAGAAATAATCTAATGATATAAATGACTTTATTATTTCACTTTGCAAATCGGAAGAATTCATTTCCATTCAGATAATAAACAGAATAACGGATTCAGAGTAATTTCAATTTCAATTATTTTTGTATAGATTTGATTTGGGTTTACGGTGTTGCAAAAAAAGTAGCAACAATAATAACAGTATCGATTTAATTAAAATAATAGTTGGATTGTTCTCCACTTACATATACATACATACATACATACGTGCATCCCTCTGTCCATCCAGCAATAATGTATTCCAATTCCAGACATTTCCAATTATTGATGCACTTCATGAATATTAACTGACCTAGCCATTTCGCAAAAATGCTACTATCTACATGTAACGATTGATCAATAATATCCGATGAAATGATATATCGTAAATTTTCAGATCTTTTCAACTCTGATATGGTTATTTATAACCGTAACATAATACAGAATTTCAAAAAACAAATCGTTAATTTGCAAAACAGGATTGCGGAAATGCATGTTTAGACAACCTGAAAAATATAATGGTTTCTCAAAACAACAGATATCTTTGATTCTTATGTTTCTGAAACCAAATTTCTGAGTTGTGAAATTTCGAGGACCATTTTGTCAAATAGTTTTTGTATAACTTGTGTTTACATTTGTGATTTTTGGCGATGAAACTTTACGCGTAAGTAACAGAAAAATAGATATTATTTACGATTATGAATTTCCTTGAGAACAAATTTATTGTATAAACATTTTTGAATGTAGGTACTAAAAGAATTAAGTACATTAATTTTATTAATTAAAAATAAAATAAATATTTTTATTAATGCGTAAATCTGTACAACGTAAATTGAATAGAAACTGTTAAAATTTAAGCTGTTTCTGAAATCAAAGTACGATTTTTATGTGCAAAAAGAGCTTGAAATCCGTTACATGTTTTCATTTCCCAGAATACTACAATAAATTAAATACTTATACTTCAACTCTTTTTCAATGAGAACGTAGACATTGAAATATATTTTTAAAACAATCTGCATATGGTTGACAGTTATTTGCACAGACTGTTCTCCTTGTTGTGATCTTTTCAATTATTAAAATGCGCTCGATTTTAAAAAGCTGTCAATGCAATAAAACCGAGGAAACGAAAGCTCGCACGTGTCCAAACTGTTTTGCATTCGACAAAAGGCGAAATCTTTTCGCATGCATTTCCTCTTAATAAACTTTAATTAGTTCGGAGAAATTTCATACATTAGCAAAATGTTCCATAAAAGGTTGAATTAGCATATTAAAGACGAATAAGTGACACTAATTTAAAACGAAAATGACATTTCTGTTTATCAACATTTCATGAACAATAATTTTATCTCCAATCGATACGTTTTAAAATCGAATTAAACATCTGACAACAATTTCGGTAATCAAATTCGGGGTTAAAGGGGAGATGAGAACGAAAATTTGCGTAAAAATAACGAGGTAAAAGAAAAAACAGCTTCTACACTCAAAAGTTTCTACACTTTTCGTTGGTTTATTTGTAAAGGGTTTATAAATATTGAATGGTTATCGACCACATTCATTTTCGTCTTAAGGTCGGATTATTGGGAAAAAATCGAACAGTATAAAAACAAGGCGTGAATAAAATGTCACATTCTATAATAATTTATCTTGTTTATAGAAATATTTGGAACCCCTGAAAACCCCTGAAAATGCGCACTTGCTCGACGCTAACCTTGTGGACGAAATATTTTACCAGGTAAACGAAATTAGAGGGACAAATTTTGCGCCGATTCGAACACCGATTTTATTATTTTTTAGATTCCATTTTTATATAATCATCACCAAGTTTTTTTGACTGAATTGAATGAAAGACTGGAACTATGGGACATAAAGCAAAAAATTGGCGATGTGTTTTTAGAAATGGTAAGTAACATATGTAATTATTAAAATATGAAATGAAAGCAATCTTGGGTACCTACTTATATTATTGATTGATTACCACCTATTTTGTGGCATTTGAAAAAAAAAACGCTTTTATCAATAACATTGGGTATTTTTAGACCAAAGCTCTATCAACTTCAAATAATAGATAAATATCGATTACACTATTACTGGTAACTACAGATTAGAATTTCTGTTTTCTACATGAAATGGAAACCAGTATATTTTTTGCATTGAAACAGCTGTATTTACGTTTAACATTATTAATACAGACAGTGTTTAATTAATTTAACCAATCGATGCATTAGTTAATACAATTCTATTTTATATTTATTCAGGAACCTCTGAAATTGTTTTGTTTTGTTTGATTAAAAACTGTTTATTTTGATCATTTTAGTATATAATTTATGGTCGTAATTTAATATACATATCTAATTTGGAATTATTTTAAAATCATTCGGTTTTCCTAAATTTACTTACGATGGTTAACCAATGACAGATTTTATAGGCTTAACTATATGAAACCTGAAAATAGCAACTTTAATAAAAAGTAGGTACTCTGTTGAAACACCTGTCCGGTCGTTAAAAATAGTTGCACTATTTCTCAACTTACTTATATGATCCAGGATTAACAATTTCATTTTATGTTGTTTCCAGTTTTCTAAAACTGCGGTGATCGATAGTTACACAAACTATGTCAATAACTGGAAACGTGCTAGAGAAACTTTGAAAAATGCTCAACAATCAAAACCGGCATTCAGTAGATTCTTAGAGGTAACAGACAGCAAGTCTCAAATCGAACCAGCTAATTATTTAAAATATTTAGGTCACTAGCAGACAGCACACCGGCAAATTGGCGCTCGATTCGCTCCTAATCAAACCCATACAGAAATTTCCGAAATACGAATTGCTCCTGCAAAGGCTCATCAAGCACACGGACGAAAACCACCCGGATCACAGTCTACTTCTAGCGGCCCAACGGCAAATCCACGAATTGCTGCTGAAAATAAATTGCACCGAAAAGGAAGCCCTGGAGTTGGAGCAGCTCCGCGAAATAGAAGGATTGATAGACGGACTAATCGACCTGGCCATCCCGGAGCGACAGTACCTCAGGCACGACTCCGTGACCATGTCACACGGCGGCGGGCCGAGGAAAGAGCGAGCGCTCTTCCTCTTTTCCGATCTCCTGCTGATCACCGGGATAAAGAGACGGAGCGGAACGATACGGCGGCCTACAATATCCGGCCAAGGAAGCGTCACGAGCACCTTGGAAGCCAACAAATACAAATTACTCATGAAATTACCTCTCGAAGAAATCGAAATCAATAAATCCAAGGACGACAATTTGAAGCAGATCATGATAGAACTCGACAACTTATCCGAAGACATATCCATATTGAATCAAATAAACGAACTGGCTTGGTCGTTGCACTACAATCACAGCAATTTGGACGATTGCATTAAGGAAATGCTGACTTCTCTGAACAAGCAATTGACCGAACAGCAGAATTCCGATTCCCAATTATCTTGTCTAGATCTGACGATAAACACTGCGTGAGTACAATTTTTGCCCTTTAAATACAAGATTTTTAAACACATTAATTTTTCAGAAACGGTCCAGAAAATGTATCAATTATATTTTCAAAGTCAGAAAAAAGAACATCTTGGGAGGAATCATTCAGTGAAGCTAAGCACAAATTGAGTAAGTAAAAATATACCAACCAAATTTATTCATAATAAAATTATTTTTATCGTTCAGTCACGTCAGGCGATAGAAGACCTCTTCCAGAATTGGTGGCTACCGTGCCGATAAGGAAGACGAGAGCAGGCCTGCAATTCACGTGCGCTGCTCCGACTTTATGCGAGAACAGCCAAGATGTTTGGGTGTGCAACAGTGACGGCTACGTGGGGCAAGTTTGCGTGCTGAGTTTGGCGCAGGAGCCGAACGTTACCTCCTGCAATGGGGTATGCAATGCAAGAATCCTGTGCATTGCATCGGTCCCGGGAATTAACAGGTACGAGCAAATCCATTCATTCGACATTCCAATTAATTTAATTACTGCGTACACTCATTTTCTAATTGATTTCGATACTGTGATTAAATATTAGCAATCCTTTGAAAACTAAATAGTAACGTATTGGCAATTATGCGAAACATCACTTTATTGTTTGATTAGGGAAATAAATGAATTTTGTTTTGCCGTTTGTATAATGGATAAAGACCTTGATTACTAATTATTTTCCGCGTTCAAGGTTTCGTTTATTTGGAAATTAATGTGTACGTGTGTGTTAGACATTGAAATTCGCATTCTCTGGTATTTGAGATTAATTAATTGTTATTTGTTTCCCATCAATCAATATCAACATGCATCAACTACATTATACCAATGATACTTTAAAAACTGTTGATTTGTTAATCCCTTGAGGCATTCAATCGCCAATACGATTATAATTTGACGTTATTTGTTGTTTTCAGAACAACTTTAGATAACGAAATGAAAGTAAGGGTCGAGGTGGAGGAACACACGCAAATACACTTCGACAGCAGCTCATCCAGCGATGAAGACGACAACTGTGATAATGAAATTAACGAGGAACCCCAAAAATTACAAGATTCAGACATCTGTAGTGTAGACAACGACGAAACCGATAATCAACAATCAACGATGTGGCTTGGTACCGAGGACGGGGCCATACACATATACAATTGCAGCGACAACATTAGAATTAAGAAAAACAAAGTCAAATTACAACTTGGAGCTTCTATATTATGTATAATGTAAGTTTCAACTTTTAATATATTTTATTTTGATGAAAAAAAAAATACGTAGAATCAGTTCATCTGGAAATATGAAATATACATTTCAAATTATTTTTGAAATTTCTAGATTAGCTTTTATTTATTTGGTGGAATTTTTAAGAAAAGTGAGTAACAGCTGTACTAAGTTCATGTATCCAGTAATCTGTTATTGTCATGTATAATTAAATTAGTTATATTAGTGAATAATTTATTATAAATTTGATTATTTTTATTTTTTTAGATATTTGGATAACAGGGTTTATGCATCTTTAGCTAACGGCGACATCGTCATATACTTTAGAGATAGCTGTAAGTATTCATTATTCAACCGATTAAATTATTTTTTTTTATTTTGTAAATATTTTCAGTTGGTGCTTGGGACACAAACAGCCCTGCAACATACACAATTGGCTGCCCGATTGCACCGGTAGCGAAAATGGTACCGTGCAACGGGAAATTGTGGTGCGCTTGCGGAAGTACCATCAAAATCATCGACGTTCCAACGCTGGCGATCGAAAACATTTTCTCAGCGCACAACGACAATAACAAGTCAATTACGTTTTTAGTTTTAAGCGGCAACGGAGTGTGGTTGTCGATTCAAAATTCCGCTATTCTCAAATGTTATCACGTTTTGAGCTTCGATTTGTTGTACGAAGTGAACGTAGCTCCATCAGTGACCAAAATGTTGGCAAGTGAGTATTTTTGTTGTGAATTATTGTCAGTTCGAATGATGCGTTACAAAGAAATGTTGGCGTATCTACTTTACCGGAATGATATATTGTTCGAGTCTTGCACGCATCCTCTTTACGTTTAACGTTACTGCGAGCGGGACAACAGTCACCCCTCCATTGCGACCTTTTGCGTTTCGTTGTACTTGTTCTCGTGGTTTGCGATTCGTCATATAATCCTATTCATTTCGAAAAATTTAGGATTGTACGTGGCGGAACTTGCCCAGTTTCTTACCTTACATAATTTAATGTAAGGTACAAAATATTATACTCTCGCAGCCTCCTCCCTCGCACGACACAAGCGACAGTCTGAGTTTTGTCTCGGGCCAAGCTTCTCGAAGTGGTACTCCAGACGGCAATGACATATAAGATGTTCTTCGAATACCTGCAGATTTTGCCGACTCAATTCACGGATTTGTCAGAAGGGTAAGAATTGTAACTTTCGTTCCTTCTTACCTCAATATTCTTTGTTTTTCGATTTTCATTATTATATTTTCGATAGTATGATTATTTTCGTTGTAGTTTGTTATATTGTTATAGGTACATTTACACTTCCTTGTACTAGCAAAGGAAGTGTTGTAAATCGCTATTAATTTCGATTGTGAGATTCCGATGACAATGTATGTTTTGTGCATCCCTGAACCTGTTTTGACTAGTTCCGACATGTCGCGTAACTCGAACGGTTGATTATAAAATCATAGAATTTGGTATTTTTAATTCATCTTGTTATACACCTCCTATTTTGGTTACAATCGGCCAAGCAAAAGTGATAGTTTAATTTATCTTATTAGTGAATTTTTATTTGAAACTTTTTTCTCTAAATTCGCTTTTATTTTTCGCTTATATTCACGTTATATTAATGAGAAGATTAGTTTAATAAGGGCGGTACAATTGACATTGCACTATAGAGTACAAGGAAGTCATGTGTTGTATACATTTTTTTGTTCGTTCTGATGTGGTTTCCGTTAAAGTAGAAACTTATTTTCCTGTTGGTACTTTTCGTTTTTGTACTACGTATTAGTATTAGAATAGTAAACGTATTCTAGATTACATGTTACCAAAATTAGAATTATTCCATTGATAACATAAGACGAAAACTTGGTCTCTTATTTAACACAAAATTAAAAGCATCCAATAAACTTTTCTCTCTACACCTTCACGCCTGTTCGACTTTTTCAAAGAGCCCGTACAATCAAATTAATTTTCTCTTTAATGTAGTTCAACTTTAAACACGCAATTAAATTGTAGTTTTATTAATCGTTTGAAGCATATATTGTATGACAATAAATATTAAATAGAATTGGCCTCGTTTGGGAGACCTATTGGCACTAGTTCCACAATTTTAATTGTCGATGCTTATTAAATTTTTGATATAATTGCCAGCCTAACGCATTTAATGAAAGCGTAACTTATTGGTAGATAAGAAATACTTTAAATTAATTGCCCTGAATAAATTGTTATGTTTGTAATAACAATAAACCTCAAATTATGCATCAAACAGACCTTTGCTCGGGTTGAACACTCCGCATTTAAAACAAGCTACGGTGCTTAACAATTCTCATCAATATTGAATTGTTCTCTGTACGTTTTCCGTTATCCACTAAATTCTGTTTCAAAACGGAGCACACAGGCTAGTATCCTCGACTGTGCGTGTAAAGAAGGCAGCAAATAGAAGGGATCGAATGATTCCTCTAATAAGCCATCCATCGTCCAGTACCATGCTCTGTTTGGAATAAATTGTATTTTTTTACATTCTAGGGATTTTTCTTGTTTTGAAATTACCAGCATGTTCCTTGGACAAAGCTCGATTCAATAGCCTTATTACACTCATTTATTTTTCGAGTGGAGCCGAATTAAAAAGCAAATATGTTATTTGAATGCATAATTTACGCTGAAAATTACTGTTTCAGGTTGCGACGATATAATCCGGCAGCACAAAGCGGCGTGTCTTCGCGTGACAGCTCTGGTTACGGCAAAGGACCTCCTTTGGGTCGGTACATCAGCAGGAGTTGTATTAAACATGCCCCTGCCTCACATTTCTACGACCACCACTAAGCTGGTGACCGTGCCGAATGTAAACGGTGTACCTCACGGTCATACAGGCATCGTCAGGTTTTTAACCACCGTCGAAATACCTTGCGCTGCGGGTGAAACGTCCCAGAGAAACTCCTTCAAAACGAAGCAGGACTCGAGGACTAACATCAAAGTGCTAGTCATTTCCGGCGGAGATGGCTACGAGGACTTCCGGACTTCGAATTTGTCAGAAGTAGCCGGACGAGAAGATTCGACCAACCATTTGCTGTTATGGGACATCTAGTAACAGCGCGAAGATATGGTTCGTCTCAGAATATTTGGAGGAACTATATCGTTATACTTGGACTTGGCACTACTCAGATTGGACAAACAGGGTGTTTACAGCCATTTGCGAAAATTCAAACGGAGCACCGTTCAGATTTTCAGGCGGGTTGGATGATATTTAAACCCCATTCGTCATGTTCGAAGATTGGGACCCAACTAACTCGGATTTTATGGATTTTTTTTAATTTCACCGACCACCAGGCCTATATTCATACGCAACGTTTTCAACATAAATACCAGTAGGTGAAATTTGTATATAGGTACAGAAGTTTATGAAGAGGAGGATTTTAGGGCTGTGCGTGGATAAACATTAGTATAAAAGATTATACATACATTATCACTTCTTTATTGCTATACAAATGGGTGCTTTATCACGTAGGTATTACGAAACTAAACAGGGAACATAAAATGCAGAAACTTAAAAACCAACTAATAATAAGCCTAATATCTTATTGATTTTTCGTAATAACTATATTGAAATAAGGGGAAATATTCATAGTACATATTTTACATATTATTATACTCGTATACACGTAGCTAAAAATGCATATCTGAGCAGCTATCGAATGAATAAATAAAAATATCTACTACTGTAGACTTATTGTGCCGAATTTAAAATTGTTGAAGGGTAAAAAGATGTGGTGTATTTATTGAAAGAATATATGAAAATATTTTAATATGTCAATGTTCACATGGGTGTTTAAGAAAAATACATATCTTTGTAAATAAATTGAACTTGCTCGAGACTCAATTTTTAGAGCGAATTCTCATATAAATGTATCAAAATATTAAGTATAAAGAGAAGAAATATATTAACGGAAAAATCATGTTCGCGTGATACTTGCATTTCTGTAAAATGTGTGATAGTATTTATAGGATTTGTAAAAAGCATTGTCGTGGAAATGTTAGGTTTTATTTTTCCGTCGTTTAAAATATATAATTGTTCCTATTGAAATTTATTTCTGCGTTTTTTGACAAATTTGTTATAATTCAATAAGTACAGTGAATATAACAAAATTTTCTGCCATAGGTATTTGCATATATCATGTGTTTTAAAAGATCGTATATTTTATATGAAGTTTTCTAATGCTATAACGAACTATTAACGTAAATTTGAAAATATAAAACTCCTATTTTGCGATAAACATTATTTACATTGCTCAAAATTCCAAATGAAACGATATTTACCAGAAAATTTTCATAAGAGTAATTATTAGCAGTTACGAAATAAATATATTTATTTATAAAACTGTTTGCTTATTTACCTATATGGGATATTCGATTAAATTAAATGACTTTTAAACCCCATACATTAACTTTTAACGAATAACATTATTTTTATATAAATATAAAAAATATGTCTACATATACATTAAATATACTATATATTTAAGGAAATAACTGTTAGGAGATAATATACAATGTTAAGCAAAGTATGTCTAGAAAGATTGTTATGTTTTTTATTCTTGAACACATAGTTGATTTTTTAAAAAAACTGTATTACACATATAATGACACAATTTCATTAAATAAATTTGATATTTGTTTATAGAATATTTTCTTAAAAACCAAACAATTAAAATGGAATTATAAAATAAACAATATGGAAGACAATAAAGGAAAATACAAGTGAGACTGAAAATTTTTTAACGTTTCGACTTAAAAATTATCATACATATGTATGTCCTTGAATTAAAAAGAAACATTTAAAATGATTTGAACGTGAGAAAACATTAGAGGTACCTGAACTAATAAATTAAAACAAACATAAAATGGAAATTAAAATTTCGCGAAGTACGGATAACAATTTTTTTCGATACTTAAAATAAATGTATTATGTAGTTTAAACTCGTCTTTTTATTTTTTATTATAACTTTTCCCTTAATCTCCCGATATTCAATTCCCCAATTAATATGTGTTATACAGAATGTGCTAAATACATATTTTACATATACACATACAAACGCTTTCTAGATGTACTAATATTTTTAAAACATACTATCCTCCATGAAATTGATTGAAAGTCGAATTAAAATTGACTCCCACAGAGTAAACTTTACTTTTCCACAGGTCCCTGCTGATTGCTTATAAAACAAACAGGTGACTGTAGTATTCAACGCAAGATGGAGTGGATAGTCTGTGCTCGAATTGAATCGAGAGTATTTTGCTACTGTTCTAAAAACGAAATGCGTCGATTTCTAGCGTCACGGTGCTCTAATATAAGTTTCGAGCGAATAGTGGCAAATTAAACACGGTTCTTTTTATTATTAGTTAGTATAATTAATGTGTTATTTGATGTTTGATGTTTGATGTTTGAATGGAAATGTAAAACCGTAGATATATCGATGTATTTCAACAACTGATTTTGAACATTACCCATTTTTTTCCGCATTTAAAATGCGATTTCCATATCTCCGTAGGATAAAACTTGTAGGCTGTATGATTGGAATTTGATTTGCTCAACAGAATGTGCAGAAGCACAAGTCTACTAGAATTAAAATTAAAACAAAAAAAAGGTTGTGAAATTTTCACATGACAATAATCGCCAAATTATATGGAAAATTAGCGCGATAGAAAGATTATATTTTTGGTGAAATAACAAGAAGAAATTAGGAACATAATGATTCAATTTAAGACTTAAGGCTGTGCTGGTTAGAATTAGTAGATAAAAACTGTTGTGCTGATACCAGAGAGATGAAATATTACGTAGAAAAATATTTACAAAAAGAGAAGAAGACTGCACTGGAATTAAAAAAAGCCAGAAATCAAAGGATAATGATGCCAGGTGTGTAAACTGTGAATGCAATTATATCCTCGACACATTTCTTAATACCCCATAGCAATTTCTTTAAATTAATTGACATGTACTTAAGTAATTTTATTACAATTGAAAACGTCAAATTTTTGAAATGAATAATTATTAATGAGTACATCAATAATTTATATTTTCAATAGAAATTACTTGAGTTATGCTAATTATATTACTTAATTATACTCAATTATTGTCATAAACTTTCCAAACAAAGTTAATCAACTAGTATTCGAAAATGTTCACAAAATGTTTCCTGTCCTCTGTCATGAGAAATTAGTTATTGATGAAATATTTTATTATACACTTATAGTAGTTAGTAGTTCAGTTAATATATGTATCTCTACGTAGGAAAGTAGGAAATTTAAGTAAGTTAATCAAATTTTAATTATTATAATAATATGTTAGTTGTTAAATGTTAAATGATCGTTTAAGTACAACTTATGTAAAAGTCACTAAACGTTAGTTATTATCTATTACAGTGTTTTCTATTAAGTTGGAATGATACAGAATTATTAAATACCTAATACTAAAGAATGAAATTAATCTTTATCAAAGACAAATATTACATGTATAAATCAGAATATAGGGAAAATTCTTTGAAAATCTGTAATACTTGATTTATCTGAGTAGGAAAAATAGGATTATAATCTTTACTATTTTTTGTTAACCTTATGTTTATTTAAATATTTATTAAATGATCGGAATTGAAAATATAATATTACAAGTGCGTGAAATTATATTTCTTACAAACTTTGCATTTAGAAATTTTTACTTCCTAATATATTCTGGATTTTAGATCAAAACAGTAGTTTCTTATTAAGTAATTTTCCCTTAATCAAGTAATAAAAATCTGTATGGTTCCAACGTAAGAGATATTTGCAGTGCATATTATATTTACACGATTACAAATTATACAAATCATAGACGTATTCTTGATGGTAGATATATTCCAATATATTATTGATGTTATTTTGATGTGATAAATAAAATGCAAAATTATACTTGCAATTTTTTTATAATTTTTCCTATTGGAACGTAACGATTTTCAGTAATATTAATAACGCAGAAACGAGTTTGCAAATACTGAAACTAATTTTACGACTTCGAAAAGCCATATTTCAGCTTGGAGAATAAATGACATTATATTGCATAGGTTGTATACATCTGCTGCAGTCTAATACCTCCCTAGAGGCTGCGATATTGGTTTACATCTTCAGAAGCACTTAATGACTCTAATTTGTTTTCACGTAATCCTATGTAGGAGGTAATAGGGCATTAAATTACTGCCTACAAAATATAAAATACTTTTTCCCGGTGCTCTCACGACTAAGAGGTGCGATCCAACTACCCCGATCCATTAACGGAGAATGCGTTTTGCAAATTAATGTACACGGGATCGTATAGATACTCGCAATCACTATTTATAAACTGGATTTGTTCGTTTTCGAAGAGATTATAGAAGCGTTTTAGATAAAGAGTCTTTCTTAAGATTTTGATAAGAACAATGTTGCTAATTTATTCTATAATATAGTTATTTATAACACAAACATGTGATAGCATAAAATAGGTGTTCCCTCTAGCCATAAACTAACACTATAATTCCAATTTAGGTAACTTATAAATTATTAATTACATGTTCTTTAAAATATAAAAATTCAACAGTTTAAAACAACATTAGAATAAGATAAAAAAAAGTAAAAACAACGTCTTGAAGTCTAATAAAAGTTTTTAAAGGTGTCGTTAAGTATCATTAAAAATAAACGAGAGAAATTTATAACTCGTGAAGTTTAACGGAAGACTTGGGAACGAACAGTAGTAGTCAGTAGTAAAAGTTTGAATGAAATTGTTGCCCAACAGTATTTTTAATTATTCCCGTACCTAAAAATGTTTAAAAAGTTTTTTCTAAATTAATAATGCTGGAATTTTCCCAAAAAAAACGACGTCGCTTGTTCTACTAATAAGATTCCCGATTTCCAGCCCAATCAGAAAATCAATTTCGACTCTGATTAACTCTTCTGAATAAAAATGCGATTTGATGTAGCATTGTCAGTAGGATATCTTCGATCACGGATCGAATCGTACGGACCCGAAGAGCAAATAAATAAAGATGCTTAGGTAGTTAAATTTTATGACTTACCCCCATTGCT